TCTTGCGTGGCGCCGACAGGTACAGGTCGCTCTCGTTGCTGCTGATGCCTGCGGGACAGAGGAAGGAGGCTGGGTAGGTGGGTGAGGGATAAGGAGGGGCACTCATGCAGGGCTGGCCAGGGGTACTCACGCACGGTGTCGCCGATCTTGCGGGTGTTGCTGCGCTCCAGCTCAGCCAGCACATTGCTCTCGAAGGTCAGGGCCGCCACGCGGAAGAAGAAATCCTTCACGTTCTCCCCTGCCCCGCGAGATGAGACTCCCTGAACGTCCCCTCACCCAGCTGGACACTGGTGTCTGCACCCCTCACCCATCCAGGACCCACCAGTGAGTGAGGAGACAGCCCAGTACTCCGCCTGCATCTCCTGGGCCACCTTGAGGGCATCCTTCTCCATCATGCTGTACTGTGCCGGTGTCTGCCAACCGAGCCAGGGGGTGGGTGACAGGGACAGCCCTACCAAGGCAGAGCACAGCTTGCCCATGGGGAGGGGAACACACTCACACTCAGATCCTTCTTGGAGCCCACCAAGAAGAGGATCACGTTGGACGGGTCGTTCTCCTTCAGGGCGTCAGCCAGCCACTGCCTCTGTCACTGGCTGGTGGCCAAGCACTACCCTCTTGCTCGCACACCACAGTGTTGCCAGCAGCTTCATGACTAGCTCTCACCTCTCTGTCCAGTCCCACTGCCCCCCGTGCTTGTCCCCAGTCCCACCTGGACCCTGAGCCATGTGTCACCTACCGCGTGTGCTCCAGGGATGCCACATCGTTGACATCGAAGACAATCACAATGGCTGGCATTGGGGGAAGGCGGGTTGAGATGGAGACAGGGACAGTGGGACACACAGGTGGGACATGGTGGGGATCTCACCTTGTGCTCCCCGGTAGTAGGTGGAGGCAATACACTTGAAGCGCTCCTGGCCAGCTGTGTCCCACCTGGAGGGGTGTGGGAGGTGAGGGGGGGCCACAGGGGTGCATGGGGAGGGGGCTGGTGCCTACTCACAGCTGCAGGCTGAAGGGCACTCCCAGCACCTCAAACCGCTCCATCTCGAAATCCACCCCGATGGTCGCCTTGTAGTTCTTGTCGAAGGTGTCTTTGCAAAAGCTGAGGGGATGTGTAGGAGGGGGGATCAGCAGCCCCCAAACCCCTCCGTCCC